CTACCAGAGCTCCTCTACCCTTCCCTTAGGACAACAAAAACCACAGTATTTGCACATAAAAATGGGCGGGTGGCATGCACTCAAAGCAATATTCTCCATTTTTACTTACTATTGTGTGTGTGTTCTTTTTAAAAAGCTAAACAGATAAAAGGACAGACTTGATAATATTTTGAGCTTAGCTACACTTCACTCATCTTACTTCTGAGTTTCATGAAAAATCAGGGACTTCTACATGCAAGATTTATATTGCTTACATTTCTTCTCATTTTTTTCTATGATTTGTCTTTAAATTTTCCTCTCTCCTCCAGAGGAACATGCAACATGCTTCATGTAACAGTATTAATTCCATCAGGGGTTTGACTGAGTTCCTGCTCCTCTGAATACATTGATACAGCCAGGAAGATTGAGCCCACAGATGACAAGCTTCTCTTATTTCTGTTTCACCTGCAGGCAGTTCCTGAAGAAAATCAAATGTCACTTTCCCATGATTCCTTTTTCTTTGACCACTTCTGGAGAGCATAAAATCTGAAGGTGTTTTTCCTGTAAATAACTCCTGCCAGGCAGAACGTAATTCCATCTTGTGCCTAGGTTTAAGTGTTCAGATGCAACTCTGATAGCTGAACTGCTAGAGTTAGAAGATGTCCTGGTGTGGTGTTGTAGGATAAGCACTGGACCACAGAGGCAGTTTGACCCGAAAGGTTGGTGGTTCAAACTCAGCAACTGCTCCTTAGAAACCCTATCCAGGGTCACCATGGGTCAGAACTGACTCAAAGGCACTTAACAAACAACAACATATTTAAAAGTGGGCTTGGGTTCATTTCCTCCAGCTGGCCCCAGTGGAAACTTTCCTGGACACATACCCCTGGTCACCTGGTTGTGATGTCATGCCCTGAGAGCCTTAGAGATAATCTCTAAATTTCCCTTTCTGCAGTAATCCTCTCCCTGCTTCTGTAGGCCTGGCGTGTGTATGTGACACATTGTGGCATCACATATGGTTGTGGCAGGAGATTCCTTTGCTCTCTGTATCCTACAGAAGGTCATCACATGGAGACAGAATTTGGAAATTCATCATAGTGTCTATGATTTCTCTCACTCAGGTGATCTGTGTTTGTCTTTGTCTTGCTTTAACTCCTGTTTAAGACTTAATAAAGAGTCTCTATAGTATTCATATAGTTGAAAACGGGGTCTCTTTCCCCTCCCCTACAACATCACTAAATTTAAAACTGTGCTCCTCCGTTTCCTTCGTCTCTGCATTTTTTCTTGATAACACTTATCACTGTCTCACATACAGCATCTTTTCCTTGTGAGAAATGGAATTTTAAAATTTCTTATGGAACCAGAATTTCTGGAGCATTTGAGGTTAAATTACTTACCTAAAGCTATTGAACAGAATCTTAAACTTTGAACCATAAACTAATCTCCTGAAAGTAACTTTTAATCAATGTTGTTCTGTGTTCTTGCGTTGATTCTGAGTTATAGCGACTCCATGTTGTTGTCAAGTACTGTCAAGTCAGTTCTGACTCATAGCAACTGACTCATACAAGACTTCCAAGGAGCAGCTGGTGGATTTGAACTTCCAACTTTGTGGTTAGCAGCCCAGTGCTTATCTTACAGCACTACACCAGGAATCCAAGTGACCCTATATCCAAGAGTAAAATTGCTTCATAAGGTTTCTTAGGCTGTTACCTTTCTGGGAGCAGATCACTAGATTTTTTTCTCTGGAGGAACAGCTGGTGGGTTCCAGCCACTGACTTTTCTGTTAGTGGCCAACCATTTAGCCACATAACACCAGGGCTTAATCAAACAATAATCTAGCTTAATTAGTAAAGAATGTTTGCTTTGGTATGATACTCTTTGAAGAATTATTAATGTACAGTCAGTTTTGACAGCAACGATTCTAAAGATCACACTAGAAACTATTTTAGGGCAATCCATAATTATTTGAATTGTCCTTCATAGTCACAGTTATTTCCACAGCATGTAAGATTACTGCTTATAAGCTTGATCTGAAGATTGGAGACCCCCAAAAGATTTATAGGCCATAATAAGAAAAAAACGAGAACAAGGTCCAATTCTTCTTTCCTTTAGTTATACAACAGAAGACTGGCACAGTAGGTTTTTCCACTGGTTAATAAGTATACCTAAGTAAAACAAAGAAGGAAATGTTCCATGACAAATATTATCTGATTTAAGGGTTGGGGTTCTGGTATTATTGTATAATTCCAGTAGCATAGAGGTTACAAATCAGGCTGCTAACCTTAAGGTCAGCAGTTCGCAACTACCAGCTGTTCCACGGGAGAAACATGAGGCTTTCTGCTACTGTAAAGATTTGCAGCCTCGGAAACCCTGTGCAGGGTCACTGTGAGTCGGAACCGACTCCATGGTACTTAACAACAACAACATAGTTATGACTCAGGGTCTCATGATCATGCATCAATTACAGTTACCACATAACCAAGCCCAACCCACTGCCATCGACTTGATTCTGATGCATAGCAACCCTATCTAGGAGTTTCTGAGACTGTAGATCTTTACAGGAGCAGACAGCTTTATCTTTCTTCCTTAGAGTGGCTGGAGGGTTTGAACTACTGACCTTAGGAGTCCAACACCTTACACTCTCAGTGCCACCAGGTCTCTGTAACCACCATGTAGCCAAAACAAAACAAAAACAAAACATCCCAAAGCTAAAACAAAAACAAAACTCACTGCCATGGAGTCAATTTCAGCTCACAGTGACCCTATTTTAGCTGCAAATCTTTACAGGAGCAGAAAAACTCATCTTTCTCCCCAGGAGTGGCTGGTGATTTTCAATTGTTTATCTTTTGAGTAACAGTTCAGTGTTTATCCTACTGATTCACCCCAGAATGACCCTGTGGCTCAAGTCTCAGTCAAACATGTTGTTCTTAGGTGCTGTTGAGTCGAGTTCTGACCCATAGCGACCCTGTATAGGGTTTCCAAGGAGCAGCTGGTGAACTTGAAACGTGGACCTCCAGGTTCAAAGTGGATTTTGCAGTCCAGTGCATTAGCCAACAGCACCACACAAGTCAAACATAGACAGGCTTAGAAGGTGAACAATTAACACCAAGGAGGTATATATTCCTTAGAACAATCAACCTTAAGAGATCAAAAAGGCAGCATTTATCTGGGGATAAAGCTCAGAAGGCAGGAAGGGATTGAGAAAGGAGGAATAAAAACTGGCAACACAAGTGGGAAGAGTGCTATTATTGTGGGAATGGCAATCAATGCCACAAACAAATATGTATGAATTGTTTAATGGAAAACCAAGTTGCTCTGTAAACGTCCACCCAGGTCACAATAAAAAGTGAAAAAATACATACACACACAAACCCCTGACCCTATCCTATAATCTTGTTTTGAAACCTGTATTTATATATGTATCCTAATATGGTTCCTTTCCACTTTTGACAATGATGTATTAATAAGTAACCAATCAGAATTTTTCTCCACTTCCTTTTGTAACCCCCAAAACCACTGCGATGTAGTGGATTCTGACTCACAGCCACCACACATCTTTAAGGGAGCAGATCTTTCTCTGGCAAAGCAGCTTTTAACCACTCATCTTGCAGTCAGCAGCCCACCGTTTTTCTCATAGCACTGCTAGTGAGCCTTTTATATCCCACTCACAGTCATAGCGATCCTGTGCAGGGTTTCTGAGGTTGTAAATCTGTACAGGGACAGCCTCTTCTTACCCCTGTAACTGTACTGTGTTTCCAGGGCGCCTTTCTTTTGTACAGTATGTTAGCTGCTCTTTGCGATTCTGTGGATTCTGCTGGTCTCTTGTGTCTGTGCGTGCTATCCATCTCTCACTGGAATGATTATTTTTGTCTTGGTTTAATAAATATCTCTTTTGATTAAGTTTAAATAAGGGGGTCTGGTGTGGCGCTGTGGATTAATGCGTTAGACTGCAAAGTCGGTTTGAACTGCAACGGTTGGTGGTTCAAGCTCACCAGTCGTTCCTTGGAAACCCTCTACAGGGTCGCTATGGGTCGGAACCAACTCGACGGCACTTAACAACAACAATCTACCCTGCCACAAGTAGGTGTGTAAACATCTATGAAGTCTTTCTTTTTTGAAACATTTTTGACTCTGTAGTAGGAAATGTTGCCTCAATTGGCAAACCCTAAGAGTATATTAAATACATTTCTATTTCTATCATTACCTTAATATTTTATTTTTTGTTGTCCTCACTAGAATGACAGCTCCATAAGGCAAGGGCATGACCCCCTCTAGGGTGAGGCGAGTATGGTGTGCTGTGCAAAGGCAAGGAAGGCTCTTTTAAAAATTCTTATTGTGTCCATCATGAAGTTTTCTTACTTGATTTTTAACTTTTTAAAATATTGCATTCAAATACTGGTCACTGAGTTTTTGGCACTCCCTCAAATTTTGCGCCCCACAGATATGCCTCACTCCCCTCATTCTAGACCCAGCCTTTGCCAGGGAGTTTTAGTGATTTTGTGTACTGCATCTCCAGTGCTTGTTCCAAAAATAAGAGACTGTTTAAAAACTGTCCTCTCCCAATTTCTTCCAAGACTCCACAGATCTTTCCAGCCAGAAAGCAGACAGTCAAAAAGAACAGAGAGCCAGGTCTCCCCAATGCTCCGCCCCACACCATCTATCTCCAAGACTACTGCTCTTGACAACGCCCCCAATCCTCCTTCTCCCGCAGTTGGCTGTGGCGAGATCTCCAGAGAGAGTCGCGCGTTGAAGGGCACGAGGGAGTTGTTTGCAGGGTACCTAAGGAAAGTTTGCGGGGTGGGCGTGGCGTGGGGCGTGGCGGGCGCAGCGTGGTTGCAGCCGCCGCCACGGACTCAGCGTCAGATATGGCGGGCATTACTTACTGAGTGCCCCACTCCCTCGGACGGACGCCCCTGCCCTTACGCCTGCCGGGGTCGGAGCCGAGTCTGGGACTGCAATTTGGGCAGTGGCGCCTCGGAACCAGGGCTTCAGTCGGTCCCGCGCGCAGGTGCCTGTGTCGTGTCATGGTGGACGTGCTGGGCGGCCGGTGCCTGGTGAGCCGCGACGGCACGGCGGTGGAGGCCGAGGCGGCGTTGCAGAACAAAGTGGTGGCGCTGTATTTCGCCGCGGGTCGCTGCGCGCCGAGTCGCGACTTCACGCCGCTGCTCTGCGACTTCTATACGGAGCTGGTGGAGGAGGCTCAGCCGCCCGCCCCCTTCGAAGTGGTCTTCGTGTCGGCAGACAGCAGCCCCGAGGAGATGCTGACCTTCATGCGCGAGCTGCATGGCGCCTGGCTGGCGTTGCCATTCCACGACCCTCTCAGGCTGTGAGTGCAGCGGGCCTACTCTACCGCTGTCCATCCCCTCCCCTCCCTTCGCCGCTCCTTAGGTCTTGTCTTCAGTGAATCGTTATCAGCCCTTTTGCAGTTGTAGGATTAGCACTGGGAGCCCTGGTGTGGCACTGTGGGATAAGCACTGGACAGCAAGGTCGATTTGAACCTCTAGCTTGGTGGTTCAAATTCACCAGCCGCTGCTCGGAAACCCTATACAGGGTCGCTATGAGCCGGAATCGGAATCAACTCGACAGCACTTAACAACAGGATTAGCACTGGACTGCTAACCACAAGGTGCAAACCCACTGGCGTCTCGGAAACCCTATTCAGGACGTTCCACAGCCACAGCTGATTCTGACACTGGAGCAAGCGTCAGCACCCCAGCAGGGTTGGTTGTTCGCCCTCCCGGCAAGGTTTCTGACTCAGGTCTGGGGTTGCTGCGAGAATTTGCATTTCCGGAGACTACACGCTGTAGATCCCTGATGCACGCAGAACCACCTCTACAGGCAGATCCTGTGTAGCCCAGCTTCCAACTCCAAGAGCTGGGGGGGATGGGATGACAAGCATGGCTAAAAGACAGACATGTCTTTCATGTGAATTGTTTGATCAGGTTTTGTTTTGTTAAGGGCTGTCGAGTTAGTTCCCACGCATAGCGACCCTGTACAGGGTTTCCAAGGAGCGGCTGGTGGGTTTGAATAGCTAATCTTGCTGTTATCTTACAGCGCCATCCCAAGGCTCCGTATGATAAGGTTGTTGTTAAATGCTGTCTAGTTGTTCCGACCTTATATAGGGTTTCTGAGAAGTGGCTGGTGGGTTTGAACTAATGACCTTGAACTTCAAACCGATCTTGCGGTCCAATGCTTATCCTCCAGTGCCACACCAGGACTCTGTGGTTTGCCTAATGTGCCAACGGTGGGCTGGGATGTGCACTTGGAGGAGTGATGACGGAAAGGCTAGAAGAACTCCTGCTGGCTCACATTTGTGGCTGTTTTCATCGGCCATTATTGGAATTTCACAACCATAATGACACGTCCTGCTTTTGTTGTTGTTGACTCAGTTCGAATCATGGCGACTCTGCAGAGGGTTTCAGAGGAGCAATTGGTGGGTTTGAACTGCTAGCCTTGCCGTTACCAGTCCAGTACTTATACCACAGCAAGGAGACAAAAGCCCTGTTTTCTGATGGATCATGGTCTGGCCCTTGTTTTTGAAAAGCTGGTGCTGTTGGGGGACCCACACCTTTTTGTTGAGTTCCAGAGTTTGTGAGTAAACAGGATCTTAGTGCTTTTTCACCTGGCTGTGATCATGGGCTTCAGAGAGGCCTATAGCAGGATGGGGAAGGTTTTCAGGGAGGGAGAATAACATATTGGCTTCTTCTATAATTAATTTATCTCCTCTGATCTTCATTCATTTGATTCATTCAGCTCCACTTCATTGCTGATCCTTCTGGACAACCAGCCTTGAAAGCTGTCTACTCCTGTAATTTGTCTCCTCTGATCTTTATGTCAGTCCATGAAGGTCAGGTACGATTATCCCAGGACATGGATTTCTGTTCTCTGGGGATTATTACTCATTTGTGGTGGTGGTGTTAAGTGTAGCTAGTTAATCCTGGTGGTGGCTATTTTCATTTTGCCCATGATCTGAGTTCATAAATCCAGGCTAGGATAAACAGAATTTAAGGGAGTACTCCAAGAATTTCCACAAAATGCCCCATTTCCTAATTTGAAAATTCCAATGATAGGGCTCACAAAATTCACTACAAATTTTAAGAAAAGAAAACTCAACTGTGGGCTGCCCCATCACCACTTTCCCAGGTGAAAACCTTGAAGATGGTGGCACCCGGAGCTGCTTAGCTGCCTCCAGCTGGCTGCCAAGGAAGGAAAGATCAGAGAGAGAAGCTCTTCCAGTGGATAATCCGAGGACTAAGCATCAGGAGCACTGGTGTGTGTGGCTCTGTAGAATAAACGCTGGACCAAACCCATCCAGCTGTTGTTAAGTGCCTTCCAGTCGATTCCGACCCTAGCGATATGGTTGCTGAGGAGCAGCTAGTGAGACTGAAGCACCGAACTTGCGGTTCAAAGTGACTTTGCAGTCCAGTGCGCATTAACCCACAGTGCCACACCTAGACAACACTTAACAACCAGAAGTATCAGGGAACACCACAAAGCCCTGAAAGAGGCATACTGCTGGGTGCCAGCACCCAATATCACCTGAAAGGTTGGAGGATTGAATCTCCCCAGAGTTGTCTCAGGAAAAAGATCTGACGATCTACTTCTAAAGCATCAGCCCTGAAAATGCTGCAGAGCACAGACAGTTTTACTTTGGCACACGTGGAGTCACCATAGGTCCAGAAGTCAATTCGATGCAGCTGTTATTTTGTTTGTTTGTTTGATAGGGTTTTTTGTTTTTGTTTTAATTTGGGGATAAGACTACAACTGAGGAATCCTGGTGCGGCACCATAGGATAAGCACTGGACTGCTTACCAAAAGGTCGGCAGTTCAAACCCACCAGCTGTACCCTGTACAGGGTCTCTGTGAATTGGAACTGACTAGATGGAGTTCTGGTGTGGCGCTTTGGGTTAATGTGTCAGACTGCAAAGTCATTTGAACTGCAAGGTCGGTGGTTCAAGCTCACCAGCTGCTCCTTGGAAACCCTATACAAGGTCGCTATGGGTTGGAATCGACTAGATTGCACTTAACAACAACAGATGACACTTAACAACAACAATTACAATTACACGTGAATTCCTGTCACATGCTGCTGCTTATGCTAGACACAACCAGCAATAATTTTGTAAATGAGGGATTATACCTTAACAACACTTGTTGATTCTCCTCTGAGGGAGGACTACTCCAGGGAGAACATGTGCTGGCCTTCCCCTCACCCCCTTCTCTTAACTTTTACCACCTCCTCTTGGCCAGGAGTCCTGGTGTAGCGTTGTGGGTTAATGCGTCAGACTGCAAAGCCGTTTGAACTTCAAGCTCACCAGCTGCTCCTAGGAAACCCTGTACAGGGTCGCTATGGATCGGAACAACTCGATGGCACTTAACAACAACAACTTGGCCAGGTGCTAGAGCACTGAGACCTCCAGGCTAACAAATTTAGATTTGATAGAAAATAAAACTGATTTAGGCTTGATTTCTTGGGTAGAGAAATAGGGCTACGGACTCAGTTGTAGAGTTAATGCTTATGGCAAGAGTTCTCAAATCTGTCTTCCCACTCAGCCTTTCCGCAGACCCTCTCTCCTGCCTCTGCTGGGTCCCCCTTCTTGCATGTTTACATGATCTTCCTAATTGAACTCTGCCATCAGACACCAAGCTGCTGATTTTGTGTCCCTCGGATTCTCAGTCTTTTCCATTCAGTGTTGCTTCACTCCTTTAGGGCTGGACCACTAGAATTCTAACCAGTGTCCTGGAGTTTGGTTCTTTCATCTAATAAATTCTCCATTCTCTTTCCTACCTCATCTCTGGCAGGTGCAGGTTACCTCCTGCTACTCCTGCTCAAGCTCTTCCATCCTTTCTGTTTCCCACAGAGCTGAGTCCTGCCCTGGCCTAGTCCTGTAACAGTGGATTCACACTTTTCTCCCACACTAGCCTCCTGTTGTACCCCCACCCTTTTCTATCCTATCTTTGAGCCAGACTGGACAACTTGAGGTAGCAGACTATTTTCTCTCCGTACCTCCATAAGTTTCACACATGCAACAGCCCCAAGATCCAAACCAAACCCACTGCCATGGAGTCAGTTCGGACTCATAGAGACCTAGAGTAGAACTACCCCATTGCTATTGTTAAGTGCCATCGAGTCAGTTCGGACTCATAGTGACCTTCAATAGGGTTTTCAAGGAGTGGCTGGTGAGTTTGAACCGCCGGCCTTGTGATTCAAACAACCTTGTGGTCCAATGCGTATCCTACAGTGCCATACCAGGACTCCATAGGTTTAAATTTTTACTAAAGTACACTGCCGTATCTTTCTCCCATAGAACTGCTGGTGAGTTCAAATCACCAACCTTTTGGTTAGCAGCCAAACACTTAACCACTGTTCCACCAGAGCTCTCCCCTCTGTAGCCTTCCCCTCTCTGACCCCCCCAAACCAACCCTGGACTGGTCTTTCTTTCTCTACCAGTTAGACTTTCCCAAAATCTGTGTGGACACTAGAAGGCAGTGAGCGCATTTCTAACCCATGCCTTCATAGTTCTTATCTAGCCTCCAAGTTTGCAAACCAGACATTGCTCAGTGGCTGGCACTGATAGTAAGTGAACAAAATGACATGTTTTTAAAAGATTTGCTTGGTAACAGTCTGCTGGGCTGTTGAGGTGGGAAAAGGCTGGAGTTGGAGGTTGTTGTGGCAACCAGAAGCACAGCTATGCCAGGGACTGGTTTCATTCTATGAAGGTAAGTTGCTGGTTATGCAACACAACCAAGAACAAGAAGGTACTGGAGTTTTGTATTTTCACAAAGGTTAAAATGCTTTTGAGTTATGAGTTCATTTTGCCCCTTTCAAAGGACTTCCTATTCTCTCTGACACAGTTTACAGCCCCAGAGGGTGAGGGAATGGCTTCAGAGGCTGGCGGTAGTTATTTGCTCCTCCAGTGTGGTTCCAAGGTTACATTTCTCATAGGCCATGGGTGCCAGGGCAGGGATTTGAGTGCGACACTTAGGACTCTGGAGAAACCATTTCAAACCTCCTCTGCTTAAACCTCAGCTTGCTTTGCATTCCCCTGATTGGTCAAAGTTTGATTTAACATAACAAGTGATTAAAACAACAGCAACTCAAAGAGGCATAAACAATAAAGGCTTACCTGAACTGCCCAGTGGTCTGGAGCTGACCTTGAGGGAGGCTTATTATTATTGTTATTATGTGCCGTGGAGTCGGTTCCGACTCATAGTGACCCTACACAGGGTTTCAGAGGCTGTAAATCTTTACAGGAGCAGACCGCCTCATCTTTCTCCCGTGGAACCGCTGGCAGTTTTGAACTGCTGACCTTGCGGCTCACAGCC